TCCTCCTCCTCCTCCTCCTCCTCCTCCTCCTCCTCCTCCTCCTCCTCCTCCTCCTCCTCCTCCTCATGACGCCCCACTTCGCGTGGCTGGTCCCCCTTCGGCGCACCGCCGACAGTCCCTCGGTCCTCTGCGCTTGCGACCTCCCGCGCCATCTCGGACACCTTCTGAGGCCGCGCCTCCCGCAGCCAGGCCGCGGCCTCCTCGTTCGCCTTCTCGCGCACCTGTAGGAGAGGAGGAGGAGGAGGAGGAGGAGGAGGAGGAGGAGGAGGAGGAGGAGGAGGAGGAGGAGGAGGAGGAGGAGGAGGAGGAGAGGAGGAGGCGGGGGAGGACGGGGAGGGGAGGGCGGAGAAGGAGCGAGGAGGAGGAGGAGGGAAAAAGAGGAGAGGTTAGAGGTGGAGGATGGGAGGTGGGAGCGGGTTTAGTCTTTTTTGGAGGGAGGAGGGAGGAGGACGGAGGAGGAGGAGGAGGAGGAGGAGGAGGAGGAGGAGGAGGAGGAGGTTTTCCCAGGAGCGGCTCGTCTGCAAGGGCCCGCTGCCCGGACAGGCTCTCGCCGTGGCCAACAATCACGACGGGTTGTTTGTGTTCTTCGCCATCTCCGTCCTTTTGGGGCCCTCGCCGAGCCCCAGGACCGGCAAGAAACGACTCGGTTTTGAAAGCTGGTCCAGGGGAACGGGCGACTTCGGGGACCTGGGTGACTCTTTGTAATCCTGGCGGTTCGCATCCGATCTCGGCTCCTCGGGCTGGTGCTCGAGCCAAGGGACCATGACAAGCGATTCTGGGACGAGCAACCACCCCAGGGGAAGCGGTCGGGATCTCTGGGGCCGCGGATCAAACAAATCACACCGGCGGATGTCAGGGCCATGTGTCCCAAATTGAGCAGGGACCGACCGCCCCAACAGTCCTATAGGCCTACCACGAGGTGCTCCTAGAACCCCCCAACATGTCATCAAGACAAAAGCAATGTTCTTAGAGCATAAGCCCGATGCACTAAAACATATCAGTCCCAGCCAGACATGTTCTCATAACATGTTATAGAAAACCCAAAGGGTTCGTAAAACAGTGTCTGGTGGACCTATGGGCACTCCAGGACGCTTCGCCACTGCTTGGACCTGCCACAAAGCACGTGCGAAGTCCTCCAGATTCGGCGGCGCACCCGGGGGGAAGTGAGAAGGAGAAGACCTTCTCAGAAAGCGGCGGGACTTCTCAGACGCCCTCGCGCCTTCTCATGCCGGGACATGATCGCGTCGTAAAACAATCGGGGCGACGGCTTTTCGCTATTTTCGGCCCCTGGGGGCCCATCGCCGGTCCCCGGGACCGTCAGGAAACGACTCGGGATGAAGAGCCGGTCCCGGGGAACGGGTCGTGGACTTCCGGGCACGCCGCCCTGAAAAAATTCGGGCGTCGCGTGTCTGGGCCTGTGCCTTCGGGGAAGGCCTCGGAAACTCCTCAGAAGGCCGGGGGACTCCCGAGGCCTCTGAGCAGGCCCGCCCTCTCTCGCTTCCCCCGCTGGGCGCGCCGCCGACCGGGCCCTGACACCGCGGGGATCGCTCAACCTGGAACGATCGGCCGTTTTCGAAACGTCAGATCGTTCTCCAGGCGTGCGACGTCCTGATTTTTTCAGGACGGCGCCCCCAGAAGTCCCGACCCTTTCGCCTGGGGCCGGCTCTTCATCCCGACTCGTTCTCTTTGGCGGTCCCAAGGGCCCCCAGGGGCCGAAAACGGCGAAAAGCTTGCCGCCCTGAAATTTTTACGACGCGATCATGTCTGGGTCCACATCGGCCGATCCCTGAGATCCGATGTCGTGATTTCTCCAATACGGGGTCCCCAGAAGTCTCGACCCTTTCCCCGGGGCCGGTTTCTCATCCTGAGCCGTTTTTGGAAGGTCCTGGGGCCCAGCGAGGGCCCCTCGAGGCCGAAAAATACGAAAAACCTCCGTCCTGTTTTTTTCAATGCGCTGGATCTCTGGGATCCTGGGTCGCGGGCGGCGCTCAATGCCGAACGCCGGCGGCGGGGTCGCCGCCGGCCAACGCGGCGCGGACCCGGCGGTAGGGCCTCCCGCACGGTGTCCCGTGTGCGCTCCCGCGTGGTCTCTCGTGCAGTCGGGCCTGGGGCAGCAGAGCATGCTTCGAGGACGTGGGGCCCTCGAAGGCCAAACCATCCTTCCCAGACGCGATCGCGTCGTGATTGGAGGCCTCCTAGATGGGGGCGGAATAGATGGGGTCGGAGGATCGCGCCACATCGGCGATGCATCGCCGATGCATTGTCGATGCGCCCGCGACGTCGGCGATGCATCGGCGACGTCGTCGTGGAGAAAATCGGGCTCCAAGTCGAGCCGCATCGCCGATGCATCGGCGATAAATCGGCGATGCGGCGCGATCCTCCGACCCGACTGCACAGCATCATCATGCTCGCCCTTTGCTCTCTAAAGTATGCCGTGCAAGGTCTTCTGCCGCCAGGGTGGCATTTCCAGTACGGAGTCTAGAGGCCCCCTAGATGGGACCCGAGCAGATGGTCGACGGATCGCGCCGCATCGCCAATGCATCGGCGACGTCGGCGGTGCATCGGCGACGTCGGCGTGGGGAACACACGGTCTCCACATCGAGCCGCATCGTCAATGCATCGGCGATGCGGCGCGATCCCCCGACCCCATCTGCTCCGACCCCGCGGTGTGCGGCAAAGGATCAGGGATCGCCTTGAGGCGCTGTGGAGGGAGAGGAGAAGGAGGAGATCATTTTACAGCCGAGCCAACTTTACAACGTCTGAAAATTACGACTGCTCCGGTCGCAATAACACTTCACACATTCACAACAACGGATCTGCTGTCGATCTCCAGTTCATAACTTGGAAATAAAATGTGCATACTCATCGATCTTCGCGCGCTCCGTGCGCCAGCTGTTGATCGGATGCTCCTGGTTTGCGTAGCCCACAGCGATACCACACCAAATAACTTCGGTCTCTGGATCCATCTGCGTGATAACCTTCTCCACAGCTGCGTGATTGACGCCAAAATATCCTTGGAAGCATGTTGAGAGCCCCGCCTCCTCGCAAAGTAAAGCGAATGTTGCCAGGTACATGCCAACGTTTCCCCAACCACAACGATCGAACATTCGGTCGAGGGTGACAATAATGCCAACTGGGGCGTTAAAGAACGATCCATTTTTCTGCAACTGCTGCAACTTCCCAGGCAGGTCCTCCTTCGCGACATTGATCGACTTGTACAACATTTCTCCGCACACCTTTCGACGCTGGCTGTAAATCGTCTTGCGGAAATGTTGCATACGCTCGTTGGTTTTCTTAGTGAGCTCCGCATCATCATAGACGATGTGGCTGCTAGCTTTCTGATCGGGGTAATTATGATATTCTGAAACGGCCTCGCGAAGATTGGACTTCTGCACGGCGTCCACAACAGCGTCCTTGGCGGCCCCGCTCAGCACGTACATGCGCCATGGCTGCGTGTTCCCATCCGAAGACGCCCTGGAAGCCTTGGTCAAAATCTCGCGCAACAGCGCCTCATCAGGCACTTTGTCTGGAATGAAATCCCGGCAGCTATATCGCTGCGCCACGGCCTGCGTCACTGATGCCATTCCAGGGGATTTGAGCAAGAACAACTAAGTGCTTATTCTTCTTCTTCGAGGGAAAGGGCGTCGCACTTGCCCGGAAGTGACAATATCAACACTCAAAGACTGCGAGCGCATGGGCCAAACTTCTTGAGCCAAAATGGCTACGGAGGAGAGGAGAAGGAGGAGGAGAAGGAGGAGGAGGAGGAGGAGGAGGAGGAGGAGGAGGAGGCCATCTACGAGGCCTACGGAGCCCCCAGAAGCCACGACCTTCTCCCTACGGCCAGCCGGCGCTGCGTCCCGAAGCCGTGCTCCGGCGGCCCCCAAGGGCGCGGCACGCCCTATAGAGCTCCCCAGGGGCCGAAGACGCTCAGAAAGCCCAGAGACATCAGTGCTGGCTTGTGCCACGCGTTGGAGCTCCGCACGGCACCCAACTTAGAGGCCTCCTAGATGGGGCCCGAGTAGATGGGGTCGAAGGATCGCGCCACATCGGCAATGCATCGCCGATTTATCGGCGCGATGCATCAGCGATGCATCGGCGATGCATCGGCGACGTCAGCGATGCATCGGCGACGTCGGCGTGGGGAAGATTGGGCCCTACATCGAGCCGCATCTCCGACGCATCGGCGATGCATCGACGATGTGGCGCGATCCTCCGACCCCATCTACTCGGAGACCCCATCCAGGAGGCCTAGACTAGTGCTCGTCGCGTTTGTTGGATGCACAAGGACATCCAACAGAAAGAGCAGTCGGGGACCCTTCCAAGACCGACCTCGATCCTCATACCTCGGTCCGACCATGACAAAAATCGCGACGGACAATTTGTCGTGCCTTTTTTTGACCCCCTGGGGGCCCTGACTGGGCCTCGGGACCTTCAAAAAACGACCCAGGATGAAGAACCGGCCCTGGGGAATGGTAAGACGAAGCCGGGATCGGGGCAAAGTTTGACCGGGATAAAAATCATGCTCGGTTTTTCAAATCACTGGGGGCGCCGCCGAACGGGCCTGCCACGCCGACGTCTGGGACCCATTATGGGTCCCAGACGTGAGTCGGACCTGGGGCAGCAGAGCATGCTTCGAGAACGTGAGGCCCTCCGCCGGCCCAGGCACCCTTCCCAGACACGATCGCGCCGTAGAAGACGGCGTCCCCAGACGTCCAGACCCTTTCGCTGGGGCCGGTCTTCCCTGGACGGTCCCGAGGCCCGCCCCCCAGGGGCCGAAAGCGGCGAAAGACTTGCCGTCCGGAGTTTTTGTTGCGACGCGGTCCTGTCTGGGGTCGAGACCTCTGGGGGGTCGGCGTCATGAGAAAGCCACGGGTCTGGGATCCTGGTGCTCCGTTTCTGTCACCGCGACTTTTCGCCCGATCTCGGGACCCAGGCAGCCTCGCAGATCCATGCAGCTCGGAGAAGTGGCCACGGCCGGAAAAACAGCTCGACCGCTCGACGGTTGTTCGCCAGGACCTCCCCACGACCCGAACGCACGTCGGAGTCGCCCTCGCGCGCACCCTCCCGGGGGCCGGGAGCTCTGGGCCACTTCCTGGGGACCTGGTGGCTCGTCGCGGAGCGTTGCCTGACGGTCCCAAGTGGCCCAGCGAGAGCACAGACACGGGCCAAACAGGGCAAGACAGGGCCCAAGTGGCCCAAGGTCCCCCCCCCACGGGCCAAACAGGGCAAGACAAAACTCCACCGGGATCCCACGAGATCCTGGCGTTGCAATGTTTTCACAACAGGCGTTTTCGCTCAACTCCGGGCCCTAGGACCCTCACAGATCGATCCGGCTCGAAAAATGGGGCTCCGGGCGTGATTTTTTGCGATCCTGCAACATTTTTGTGCCACGTCGGATCTCACGGATCTCTCTCCATGACCCGAGCACGTCTTCTCGAGAAAGGTCACGACGAGACCACGCCTTTCTGCTGCATTTTTTGCGAGCTGGGCAGATGATTTGTGAGGGCCCTGGGGCCCAGCACGGCGCGAAAACGCCCACCGCGAAGAAAGTATAATGCCCAGATGTCAGGGCTTCGCCAAGGTGGCCCTTCGCTAGGAGGAGGAGAAGGAGGAGGTGGAGGAGGAGGAGGAGGAGGAGGAGCAGGAGGAGAAGGAGTAGGAGGAGAAGTTGGAGGAGAATATGGAGGAGGAGGAGGAGGAGGAGGAGGAGGAGGAGGAGGAGGAGAAGGAGAGGGGGAAGGGGAGGCGGAGCAGGAGAAGGAGGAGGAGGAGGAGGAGGACGGGGAGGGGGAGAGGATGGTGAGAAGGGTTAGTGTAGCGACCCCTTCCCCGGGACCAGATTCTCATCCGGAGTAGCTGCTGACGGCCCCATTGCCCAGCGAAGGCCCCCACAAAGGCCGAACACATTCCAAGACACCTCGGTCGCACTCTGTTCCACAACGCGAGCATGTCTCGGCGACACGCACGAGCGACCCCGGGTAAGCGAGTATCGTTTAACCGATCCCCATCCGGGTAAGAGTGACCTTCGGTGCGCGGCTTCTTGGGGGCCGCGGGGGGACTTAACACAATCGCGCAAGACGCCACCAGGCTACCCTATCGCGTTCGGCGATCGGGGGACCCCATTGGGCCCGCACCAAAGGTCACCCCGGCGAGGGGTCACTCTTCCCTGAGATCCGACGTTGCGAATAAAAATGCAGCATCGCAAAGAATCACGCCTGGAGCCCCGGACCTAATCTTTCTGCGTCATTTTTCGGGCCGAATTGATATGTGAGGGCCCTGGGGCCCGAAAAAAGGCGCAGACGCCCCATGTGAAAAAATTGCAACGCCAAGATCTCCCCAGACACCCGACGTCATGATTTTTCATGACGTCGACCCCCAGAAGTGTCGGCCTCGTCCCCGGGACCGGTTTTTCATCCTGTGTCATTATTTGATGGTCCCGAGGCCCGGCGAGGGCCCCAAGAGGCCGAAAATAGGGACGCACTCGCCGCGTCGTGTTCTTACCCTGACCCAAAGGGGTCTGGGCCACTGGGTAAGGGTACGTCTGGTCGACTGGGTCGCCCTCGCGCGCACCTCCCGGTCCGACCCCACGACCGACATGTTACCGACCGCGACCGACTCGCGACCCGTTGCGACCGCGACCGATATTGCGACCGGCACCGATGCTACCGACCAGCCCCAAGCGCTACCGTCGCGACTGGTCGCGCCTGGATAATTCCAGGATTTCACCCAGAGATCTGACGTCGTGATTTGTTCAATACGGGGTCCCCAGAAGTCCCGACCCATTCCCCAGGACCGGTTTCTCATGCTGAATCGTTTTTTGACGGTCCCGGGGCCCGGCGAGGGCCCCTCGAGGCCGAAAGTAGCGAAAAACCTCCGTCCTGATTTTCCTCAATGCGTTGGATCTCTGGGAATGATCAGGGTGGGTCGCCCTCGCGCGCACCTCCCGGTCGTCCTCGCGCGTCCACCGCGCCCGCGGCCGCTGCGGCTTCGGGTGCCCGGCGCGGGCGGCCTGCTGGCTGGCCGGCCCCGCGCGGCCGCCCGCGCCCTCCGCGGCGAGGGCGGCCTGCCCCGCCTGCAGCGGCTCCTCGCCCCCCCCAAGCGCGCGCCTCCCAAGCGCGCGCCTCCCCACGACGACGACGGCGGCGACGACGACGACGACGACGACGACGACGACGACGACGACGACGGCGGCGACGACGACGACGACGGCGGCGACAACGGCGACGACGACGGCGACGACGGCAACGACGGCGACGACGGCGGCGGCGGCGGCGGCGGCGACGACGACGACGCCGACGGCGACGACGACAACGACGACGACGACGACGACGACGACGACGACGACGACGACGACGACGACGGCGGCGGCGGCGGCGGCGGCGGCGGCGGCGCGCAACTTGCCATCGCTTGGACGTCCATGTCCCGTGCAGGGTTCTTTCTCGTGCGTGTTCTCTTTGTCTTTCGGCTCGATAATCCAGGATGCTCCTCGAGGGTCCTCGATGATCCAGTCCTGCACCTGAAGAAGGCCCAGACCTCCTCTCCGCCGCTTCCCCCCCCCCCCCCTGTATCGCCCCCCACTAATTCTTGCCCCTCCTCCCCCCCCTGTATCGCCCCCCACTAATTCAGGGAGCCAAAAATCCACCCTCACAACAAGCACATGCACGGTTTCCCCCGGTGCCGTAGGAGACACGAGGAGGAGAAGGACGAGGAGAAGGAGAAGGAGGAGGAGGAGGAGGAGGAGGAGGAGGAGAGAGGTGGCAATGAGGAGGACGGAGGAGGGAGGAGAGAAGGAGGAGGAGGTGGAGGAGGAGGAGGAGTGGAGGAGGAGAGGAGCGGAGGAGGAGGAGGAGGAGGAGAGAGGAGGAGGAGGCAGGAGGATGGAGGAGGAGGAAAAGAGGAGGAGTGAGGAGGAGGAGGAGGAGGAGGACGGAGGACGGTGCGAGGAGGAGGAGGAGGAGGAGGAGGAGGAGGACGGGTCGCCTAAGCCCTTCGGAGAAACCCTCTACAAGCACCCCGACAAGTGAAGCCATTTCGTAAACGCGCCCAGGGAAGGAGGAATGGAGCAGAGCTGGGCTACTGAGTAAACGCCCACGGCTGTCTAGTGAATGCCGATTCTCGGGGTCTGGGCGTTCTTTAGGCAAGCGCGATCCACTACTCGCAACGCAACTGCTCGCACATAGCCTGGATCCGCCGAGGGGGATTGCGACCAATGACGTCGAGGCAGACGTTTGTTTTGGGGGCCGTTTGCGAGTCTGCACGGCGGTGCGAGTAGTTAAGCGGAACGCGCTCGGGGACTCTTCGTCGCGCCCAGGAAGGATGCAGCCCAGGAGGGGTCCCTACACATGCGACGTCCGGGTTTCTTCAGGACGGCGCCCCCAGAAATCCAGACCGACCCATTCCCTGGGACCGGCTTCTCATCCTGAGCCGTTTCTTCACGGTCCTGGGGCCCGGCGAGGGCCCTTCGAGGCCGAAAGCGACGAAAAAGCTCCGTTGGAATTTCTTTCACGAACTCCGATATTTCTTCTAGGGTGGTTTGTGTGCCTAGAGATAGATAGTTTATCGGCGAGCTCTGGGGTGTTTGCACCCGCGCGGCGTCGTTGTGACGCATCCGTAGATAGACGGCTCGGCTCGCGCTCGCGCTAGCTCTCGCGCTCGGTTTGGATTCTCGTGTGTGTGGGTGGGCTCGCGCGCTAGCTTGAGTAGGAGGAGGAGGAGGGTGGGGAG